ATCGAATCAGGAATACAAGCCTGTTTTGGCTCACCAGCCCTGTGGTGGCAACTCATAGCTCCTAGTCAGGTCCCTGCTCAGCAGCCCTCTATTGGCAAGTCTCAGCTGGGGGGGCATAGTCAGAGAAGGTTTTTAGCCTTAAGGTATGACTGACTACTCCAAACTTAAGATAGCAATAACACAAATCAACATTTGAGTAGCTCAAAGTGCAATGTGTAACAAGGTTCTTAGTGTTAGGCATGCTTTTGTCATGCTATTAGTATCAGACCCTTCCATGGGTTGATCTAGAATTTTGAAAAGGGGGGTGCACATACTGAGGTACATCATCACATATAACATGACACCTATTTTTCTCCAGTCAAAAAGCAACTAGAAGCCTTACTAATATGATAGTGGGCTAGGCTGTATTATTTAGATTAAATTGATGCAAAACCAATCTTTTTTGCATAACTTTTTAAAAATGAGTTAAAAACAGTGTGTAAGGCTGTGAAATGAGAACTACATTACCAGGAGTAGCTAGCAGACAGCCAATTTGTAGAAGAAGGCTATTTTGATTGGTGGAACATCAAGACCATTAAAAAGGAGTGAGGATCGTTAACACCTGTGGAATGAAGAGTTTAGAAGGAATCAGGTAGATTTTAATGAGCCATGAAGTCAATTGACTACCTCACTGCTGCCTGAGTAGAAATATTGCTGACACTGCCAGTCAGTTGGTTTTAAACTTTCAGTGGAACAAGAATCAAAGGGAGGGTGTAACTGTGCCAGTGCACCCTTCCTGGATTCACCCCTGGACCCTTCTGTTGAGACAGGTGTTCCCCTGCTTATTCTGAGAATCCCATTTCAGTGTCTGGAGCTTTGGCTGGATCTAGGTCTACAATAAGCATGTTAGCAGTGAGGTAGCATCAGCTCTCAGATGCCATTACATATGCCAAATGGCAGAAGTTTAGGTACCATAGGGATTTAGGTATATATAGGCTTAGGTTGCTGCTGGGTGGTGGCTTTGAGAATGTCAATGGTATCTAACGGCCTGACTTAGGATGCGCATATCCTTACTGATCTAGGCCTATATGACTTGCTCAAAGGGAACCCCCCCCGACTGTAGCAAGGTCATGAATACCTGTCTCCCAACTTTGGGGTTAGTGCCATAGTCAATGACCCGTTGATCCTCTTTAATTTTTTAATTTAGATGGCTAAGTGTGATTCTATTTCACCCTGCTTGAGTCTCTGAAAAACAGTTAATGCTGGAAGTTTAGTTGGTCCTCCTGCTTACTGTTTCTTTGGATTTGGTCTTAAAGGAAAGATGCCAGGTTAGAAAACTAGGCCTATTTTAATTTTTTGAGCAGCG